AAGTTTCCTTTTCTTTTAGGGAATTAATTTCTTCATTCATTGCTTTTTCCCATTTTATCTTTTCTTCCTTGGTAATTCCAATATATCTTCAAATGACTTTGGATCTCTATGTGGAATTTTAACTTCAGCTTTGAATGTCAGTTTTTCTGGAGGTATACCTTTGGTTGATCTTTCAGACCTTCTTAGTGGAATTTCTGATTCTGTTTCTTCTTCTGTTTGCATTTCTACAGACTCTGTTTCTTCTTCTGAGTGTTGCTCTTCTGGAAAACTTTCATTAACATGAAAAAATTGGAAGGCATCTTTAGTATTCCATAGTTTATGTTTTCCTTTATTTTCTTTTCCTGTATTCATTTCTAGGAATTTTACTGATCTGCTTATTATTACATTTCTATCACCTGTGTAAATCCTGTATCCCTTACTTCTGATATCATACCCTACAAATATACCTTCAATGGCTTTCTCATCTAATTTTCTTCTTTTATGCTTATTTATGTAGGCATATGCTTTACATCCAAAAACTTTGGTTTAGGTTGGGCTTTCTTTTGTTCCACAACTCATATGGTGTTTTATTTATTATTTTAGTAGGTAATCTGTTCTGCAAATAATTTGCAGTTATTACTGCTTCTCCCCAAAAGGATTTTTCAAGATTTGCATTTATTATCATAGCTCGTGCCATTTCTATGAGAGATCTGTTCTTTCTTTCTGCAACACCATTTTGTGCAGGAGAATAAGGTATTGTAGTTTGATGAGTGATTCCTTGTTTTGTTAAATATTCTTCAACATTTTTATTACAGTATTCACCACCGTTATCTGATCTTAGTGTGTTGATTTTTCTTCTAAATTTATTTGTAGTAGAAGCTACAAATTCTTTCAGTTTTGTAAGAACTTCATCTTTGTTTTCAATTAGATATACCATAGTAAATCTAGAAAAGTCATTTACAAATGTAAGGAAGTATCTCTTTCCTCCTATACTATTTATTTGTGTTGGACCACATATGTCACTATGGACCAATTCCAATGGCTCTTTAGCTCTGTAAGTAGACTTCTTTGGATATGGCTATTCAGTGAGCTTTGCTTTAATGCATATTGGACATTGTAAATCATGTTTACAATTATGCAACTTTATTCCCTCTACTAAGTTTTCTTTTTCCATTTGTTTCATTGTGTCATAATTTCTGTGACCTAGTCTTTGGTGCCATTTAAGTATGCAATTTTTATTTGTACAATTTTGCATTAATTGAGCACTGTTTACTTGCTCTTGCTTATTTGTTGCAGCAATTAACTTGTAAATACTATCTGTGGCAATGCCTGTTGCAATTAACTCATCATCTTTCTCTATGGTGCATACATTATTTTCAAATTTAACTAAGCAGCCTCTATCAGTTATGGCTTTTACTGAGAGTAAATTTCCATCTAACTCTGGAACATAAAGTACATTTTCTAAGAGAATTTCTTCTTCATTTCCATGAAGTGTTGTGACCTTTATACATCCTTCACCTATGCCTTGTGATTTCAGCTTTGCTCCATTGGCAATGGTGATAGAGTTGCTTTTTTGCTTGTTAAGTTTTTTGAAAAATTTTAAGTTTCCTGTCATATGACACGTTGCACCTGAATCAATGACCCAATCATTGTCAACATAATTTTTTTCATACAATTGTACCTTTAGTACTTTTCTTTCACCTTGTTTATCCTTTTCTACACAAACAGTGTTGCTGATCATAATTCTTGTGAATATTTTTATTTGTTCTTTGTCTCTTAAAAGCATCTTCACTCGCCTTATTTTTGTTGTTTAAATGCCAACATTCACCTTTATAATGATTACTTTTGTGGCAGTAAGTGCAAAATTTCTTTTCTTTGTAGTTTCACTTTTCAGCATTTTTGCTTTTAAATGCTAAGACTTGTTCCGATGAACTTTGTTTACTTTGTAAATGCCTTTCATATTCATCTATCAATTTGCTTGTTATATATCTTTGTGTTAGTTCTTCTTCATCCTTACTTTCTAGTGCAGTTATTAAAGTAGAATATGACTCTGGTAAACTACATAGCAGTATAGCACATAAGTGTGACTCTTTGATCTGTTCACCAATGCTTTCCAGGCGTTCCTTCAATCCAAGAATATCTTTTATGTGATCCTGCATTTTTGTGTTCTCATCATACTTTATAGAATAAAGTTTTCTAAGTAAAAATAATTTGATTGTTAAGTTAGCTCGTTCGTGGACACTTTTTAACTTTTGCCATGTTTCCGAAGCAGTCGATTCATGTATTACATGAATTATTTGAAAATCGACAATATTTAAGCATATTAATGCTATAGCAGTACGATCACGCTTATAGTATGCATCGTCTGGTTTTTCAGGTTTAACGCCGAATACTGCGTCATATAAATTTTCTTTAAATAACGGGACGAGATCTCGCACTCTTCTCGCGAGCACTATCGTTGAGTTGTTGTTAATAAACACGGACGTCTAACAATATCAACAACCAATATATATGTTTGAATTTATTATACAGGCTATGGTAATAATTAATATTTTGTGTAATATATATGTCGATATATGTCTATTATATAAATTATTTTTTTTGTAAGTGCCCCTGAGCTCAAAACTCTTGGCAGCAACAGTAAGGCTTTCATTCAAAATTGTAATAATTGCCTATTACTAATATCTCCCCGATTACAAAATAATATGCAATTATATGTGATATGTATTTTATACTAGCTGCAAGGACCCGCTTCGCTGAGTTTTTATTTGTATGTAATACAGTAGAGCGTCGATTATTCGAAACGTCAATCATCCGAAAGAATTCCAGTCGGCAAACTGAGGTCTAAAATTCATGCCAACATATAATTAAAACAGCATTTTGCAATACTATTTAGTTCATTTTTCTCATGTTTTCATTTATATTTAAATATATTTTTATATGGAAATGTAACAAAGCTTGACATCAAACTTGGCAGTACTTTTTAAATTAATTGATAAATTTTTAGTACTGTATAAGAAAGTCTAGTAAATTTACTCAGTTCTTCATAACATTAAAATATGCAATATAAAAAAAAGCCCTATAAATACAGTACATACAGGGCTATTTTTCAGTCAGAAATGTTAGTACTACATACTCGCAGACAGCATGAAAAAGATTTCTGTAACTGGTACAGAGTACCAGCAGTTGTTTAGCACAAACAATACTATATCTTCAGTCACCATATATGCAAACTAGCAGTGTTGTTTTTCTAAAAACAACACTGAGCATATACAGGATGAACTAAAAGTAGGTGGACAGTAAATGATAACATTGAGATTACATATATACAATTGTATGTACTAATACAATACAATACAATGTTATCAATGCAGGTACTGTCCATCACAATTTAAACAGCTTTTAAGTCTACATTTCACCATTTCACGCTTTGATAAACATTTTTCTACAAGTATCTTTGTGTATTAATTTCTTAAAATACATCTCTGATGTAATTTTTCAACCATAACCAAGTTAAATATACGCCATTGTTATACTATAACCCTAACACAAATCCTATTCCATCTACTTTTGGTAATTACGTCTTGAAATCTTAAACATACAATTGGGTTCTTCGACATTTTTCTTTCAGTTGAACTAAATGCAAAACGTCCCATATAAAAAAGAAAACGATGGTGGCACCATCTATTGACAAAAATAAAATAATTATATATATAATATATATATATATTTTAAAATAAAAGTTAGTTATACAGTATATAATTATTTCAGTTATAAATAAAAGTTTGATATAATTTAAATTTTTAATAATTAGGTATATAAAGAAAACCGTATAATATACATATATAACATTCTTAGTGCTTTATTAATTATAAAACAGCAAAAATAGTAACTTTGAAAAGAATAGAGTAATATTAATAACCGAAACAAAAATAAAGTAAAGAGGGAAAAAAATAAACGCCCGAACAGGGACTCGAACCCTGGACCGTTAGGTTAAAAGCCTAACGCTCTACCGACTGAGCTATCCGGGCATGCTGAAAGATGACGGAATTAACCTATTTATTATAAACTAAATAATATATTAAAAAATTAGTTTTTTCGTTAAGATTATTTAACTATATTATATCTATAGTTTATGGTTACTTTCTACATGTAAAATAAATTTTTTTTATCTATTATTTACGAATTTATTTTGTTTTACTAATTTAAGTTCCTATATGGTTTAGATTTCTTAAGAATGATATCTATGGTTGAAATCGCCAATCACCTTGCGTTTTACGAAAAGTTTTTGAAAGCGCCAATAAAAACAAATTTGAAAATTTGAAAATCTCAAGTATTTTTACGTTTATTTCAGCAAAAACGTTCGTAGTCCTCGGTAGTATAGTGGTCAGTATCCCCGCCTGTCACGCGGGAGACCGGGGTTCGATTCCCCGCCGGGGAGGAAATTTTTTTCCCTTTTTTTTTCAATTCTTTCTTTATATTAAAATTTTTTAAATATACTTCGTATTTTTTTCTTAACAATGTAACCTTTCGTAGACAAAATATTCTGATTAACACTTTTAGTGGCGCCATCTCTCAATAGAAACTAAGACAATCTCATACAGTTTTTCACCTTAAAATGTTGAATTTTATAAATATTTAAATTTAGCATAAAAATAATAAATTGTTTTTTTCCTTCTATACACTTTTAAGAAGAAAGGCATATAAAATAAAATATTTAACCATTGATAACAACAGAATATAATTGATTTGAATTTTTAGAAATAATTTTTTTTCTATAGTCTTATTAAGTTTTTAAGTCGTGAGATGGCGACTCTAAAGCGCATCTAAATGTGCATATTGCATCAACACTTACAAAATTATATTAAATTTAAAACAAATATTCGCCATTCAAGCAGATAAAATATATAATTACGAGAAATAAAACAAAAATCAAAAAATAAATCGTTTGAAATTAAAAAAATTTTAAATTTATCTCTCCGCTGGTGGCGCTAGTTTCTATACGAATTTTTGCTTGTCACATTAATATGGCGACGTTCTTTGGTGAAGTTTTGCCCGTAAGTTCTCGAGCCGTGGACGAAGAAGAAGAAAAAGATGTGCCGGTCGAAAGACTGTATATGGAGAAGCAAATTGGTTTACAGAAATGTAATTTGTTCGTATTTAGTATAGGAAGTAATGCTTCTACATTCAACGAGATTTACGTTCTTCCTCAGGATGCTCAATTGTTGACACACGTGAGAGGTGAAACAATAATAGAAGATAACCAGGAAGAATATATGGGTTTATCTTATAGAAAATCATCGAAATTAGTCGGTTCTCTTTATCGTAAGGGATCGGTTCTGTTTTTTATTTGCAAAGAAAGAATACGAGCGGAACAAGCATTTCCTCTGGCTAAGCAGCTGATCGATTCGATCTCATCATCATGTGTTCTGGTTCTGTGTGATTACTACTTTTCGGAGTATAAACATAATTTCACCGAAATTTTGCAGATTCCTTTCTTGAGATGTCTTCGAACGTCAAAGTACAATGATAAAGAAGTGAATTTTCCTCTATTAAGGCAACCAAATACGGTTTCGGGATTCGAAGCTGCGATATTGACGGAATGCGAAGTTAAGAATATTCCCGCCGAATTGATTGTCTGCTACACTGATCAGTGTTGTCTCGATGTGAATTGTGTTAAATCGTTTCTAAAAATTTTTTCGATTCCTCACGTACGAAGTAATTCTCTTGGCCCTAACCCAGATGCTGATAGACAGTTAAAGGAACTTTTCATCAATAGATTAAATTTTTCTGATACTTTGTATATATAGATTTTTCATAATGACATGGTTTTGAAAACAAATTAACAGAAAAAAATTTGTATGTTTATTAAATCAATTAGTCAAGTAAATATATTCTGAATTATTTATGATTTTTTTATTATCCACATATTTTTAGTCGACAATTCTATTTATTTTACACGTTCTAGTTTTTTACATACAATAGTTTATGTAATGCAAAATGTAGACGTTCAGATTTATTTATCGAAATTCCACAATGGAATCCACTAAAACATTAAATATTTTATATTGAATTATAACAGTTCGAGCTACTAGCACAAAATATTTATCGAAGGTTTCTAGCTATTTAGGAAGCATCCTTAGCATCGAATATTAACCGATTGGAATATACGTAGAACATAGTTTCAGAATAGATAAATAACGAAACAAAAGTACAGTACAACCAATCTAGCATCTTAATGGTTGATGCATAAATTTTTAATAGCGTACTTGTATCTTTTCAATAGTTTTTCCGAAGGCTTTATCTGTGGACGAGCGTCTTCAAATCGTAGAATGTTTTCTGGAATAGCATTGTACTGTACTGTACATCATATTGATGTTCTTTAATTTAAGCTGTATGAGAAGATTATGGTTAAGCATAATGTATGAGTGACTCAAGTTGTAAGGCTGGGCGCTCCTACGCAATAACAGATGAGTCACGTGATCGACTGGACAATTGGCAGTTAATGCAGACGCGAGCGAGCGATAATATGCGGCTAAAAGGAGCAAGACGCGATAAATATCAAACCTAGCGAGATCCAGAAATTCTCTCTCGCCAGCGAGATTTCTCTTTTCTCGCTTGTGCATGGTTTTCCTTTGCAAGAAGTATATCGTTCGCAACTCTCGCTCTCTACAGTCGCACCCTTAACCATTGTTTCTATAAATTGGATATTAAAAAGCCGAACTGTTCCGCCTAATTCGGGACGTCTGGTCACATTAGCGAAGACCCACAGGAGGAGTCAGTGGCGTGTTATAGCTTCATGGGACCCAGGTGAATTTGAATTACGGGCCCCATGCACAGCGTTGACTTCAGATATCGGAAGAAAGTGTTTTCTTATAAAATATTGGTTTGGGGCTCCCTGTTGGTGGGTGCTTTAGGTAATTGCCCTTTTTGCCCATAGAATAACGGGCCACTGGGAGGAGTATTCAGAGCTTCGTCAAGAGCAGTTTCCGTAACGTAATACAGATCCTCGGAGGCAGCTGTCTCATCCGAGGTTGAAGCCGGGTTTAAAATAAAGATATAAAGCCGAAAATTTATCTTTTGTTCGGTGATTCTGCGTCTATTATAGAATAACACGTGCATGGCAAAGATTGTATTAAATTTTTAATATCGTAATGATGGAATATTAAAATTTTATAATGCATTTCTGAAAGATTTCTTAATGAGAGGTACTAATATACAGTCGGTGGTATTCGTTTGTAATTTCGAAACGAGAATGTAATACAATCTAACGTAATTGGAGTAAATCAATTAATATATCAGAGTATAAATAAAGCTTCTTAGGGTTGCCGACTGCCATAGTTCAAATCATGATCTAAAGATAAATGTGTGGTCAGGCTCCGTATGGTCAGATTCAATCTCCCAGTACAAACACGTATTCGATTCTTACACGAGACTTACCTCGTTTAATATTATCGCGACAAATTTTGTTCAATGAATACTTTTCTATAATAAACGTTCTTAAGCTCATCTAGTGAAGAATTAGTAACCTGCGTGCTACCATTTACAATTTTATAAAGATACTAGCAGGTGGGCCCGGCGTTGCTCGGGCAAAAGTAACGATAACTAAGATAAAGATTACAGTCAACCTTACCCGTTTTCACAGAATGCAAGAATTGGGTCCCCTTGTTTCCAGACTAGTTAGAGAATTTTTAGATGAGTCTAAAAGTATGTTCGATTTCCCGCAAAAACGAAAAAAACTGCATCTGCGTATTGCACGTCGCTTTCTCTTAACAATTCCATTGTTACGTAACAATTCCATTGTTGACACTTCCATTGTTACTTAAAACTTTCATTGTTACTTAGCATTGTACAGTAGTTTTTTTTACAATATTCTATATTTTTAATATATATTACACTTGTTAACCGGGCGTTTTGTAGAAGGATAAAGAGGAGCAAAGATTATTAGATAAAGAAAATGGAAGCAGAAATCATCAGCACCATCATGTAATGTTGTTTGACCATAGAAAGAGACCATAGAAAATATAACGATTAGAGATTTGTTAGTTTGGGTCAATTATACTGTATATACGTTAACTAACAACATCTGCTTTTAGTGAAAAATGATAATGATGATGAGAAGGCACAAGAGGCGTAGGAGGAGTAAAAGAAAGAGGGAAAGTAGGATGAGGAGGAGAAGAAAGGGATGAAGTACGATGACGAGGAGAAAGAGGTGAAGTAGGATGAGGAGGAGTAGGATGAGGAAAAGGATGAGAATGAGGATGATGAGTAAAAGATTACTTGCAATCTGAGATAATCAGATGGGGTGATAAAATTAAAGTTTGCTATTATATATAGGAAAATCCATTCAAAAAGCACGCTGCTAAGAATAAATTAATTAATTTCCATTTACTTAGAAAACTCTTAACAATTCCATTGTTACGTAACATTTCCATTGTTGACACTTCCATTGTTACTTAACACTTCCATTGTTACTTAGCACTTCCATTGTTGATGGAAGTGTTAAGCCTTAATCCTGTCTCTCTCCTCCGTGGAGAGGAATTTCGAAAAATCCCTTCTTAGTGTGCGTTTTCATGACGTACCCTATCTGTGTCCCAAATTTCAACTTTCAACTCCTAATCGTTTGGGCTCTGCGCTGATTATTATTATTATTATTATCAACCCGTCTCGATTATATATTAGATTTACTTTAAAGATATTTATATATTTTATTGTATTTTGATAACATTTTTATGAATTCATTTGCAGAACGATCCTTGAGAAAGCCAATATTTTTTGTATATATGATTGGTTTCAAAAGGTTCGCTAAATGTTTTCTTTAAGTTATAATTTTGGTAATCGTCTTCGTACTAAAAACACGTAAAATAAAAATATATAAATGTAAATTTTTCTAAAATTCATAAGAATGAAATCCAATAATAAACGAAAAATAACAATAGAGATTCATTGTTAAAATGTATTCTTTACAAAGAAAACGTTCACTCCTAATGCTTCGCTTGTTTATTTTAATTTTCATTTCATCTTTTCGACAAATTTTATCAATGGCTTTACCCATTCAGTATAGACACTTGGATCCAGTCGAACACAGAACAGAAGACAAAAATTATGTTAGTATGTTCCGTGCCAGACGGGGTCCCGAAGAATTTCAAAAATCTTCCAAAGATTACTACTACTTAACGTATTTATATCGACTGTTGTCACGTCCAACAACCATAAGTGATATTGTCAATGTAACACCCGAAAGAGTGACGAAAATAACGACAGCAGCCAATTATCCATCAAAGATACAAACGGATTGGCTGAAACTCGAATTGGAAAGGATGAGAGATAAAAAATGGAAAGAATTACAAGATCTCGAGAAACAAAGCATGGACGAGTTGGTGTCAACTAAATCTAATATTGGAATAGACGTTGATACAACTAAATCAGAACTATCGCCTACCCGAATTGTATATGGCTTTCTAGTTATCTCTATTATAATAGTTTGCGCAATAATCGTCCAACTGTGTAGAAGATTCTCCTCTGAACTGATTTGTTCGCCGAATTCAATCAGAAAGTCTATCGCATGGAAACCAAGACCATCAGAATCGGCGAAAACAACTTTAATATTACAGGAGACCCGAAAAGAAAGTATTTTAGGAAGTTTGTCGTCATTTCATTTACAAAATGGTTCGTCGTTCGTGAAAGTTCAACGAATGATCGAAGATTTAGACGAAGAGGAAATCGAACTGTTGACCACCTTCCTTACCTCTGACTATAAACTGGAACGACGAATAATTTTTAATAATCGATAAGGATTCGTTAAAAATTTGGAGACAAAAAAAACTAATTCTGAAGACTTATTTCAAAACTGTTTGCGAGAATATTCTCCTCAACTTGATATTATGGAAAACTAAATGACCTACAATTTGCACTTATTTCCTTTCTGCAATGGCGTCGTTAATGGACTTAGTTTTTATTTAGTTGTATTGAATTTTTTCAATATATGTACTGTACCATAACGTATCTGTGAATATAGTATATTGCAACTTATTTTAAATTAATATATCTGTATAAAATAATATAAAAAAATCATTTAAATTGCAATACAAACATAATAATTTTAGCAATAAAATAATGAATGAATAGAATAATATAAAAAGATTATATTCATAATAAGGATACAATTTTATTAATTTTTTAAAATTCATAAAAATTAGCGAAGTTTTATATAATTTTTATTAAACGGTCGATAAAAGAAATTTTACGTAAACAATTTATTTCTTGGTTTTGATAATTTCACACACATAAATAACCGTAAGAAGAAGGAAGTCGAAATAAAATTTGCCTCCTTTTAGCATCTTCAATTATCCCGTCCCAAATATGGTACTTGCTCATAATACTAAGATATCCACATAAAATCAACGAAGATTTAGCTCGTGTCAGTAATGTATTTAGAATTTTATAATTCAGTTCTTCGTGAGGAGCAGAATACAAAACTATAGCAACATCAAATATTGGACAATCGCGTAAGCCTTCACAAGAATACAATGAAATGACGTGACTATATTTATTTTTATCCATTAAGATATCTCTTATGGTATCTCTCTGATATCTATATTTCGTAACCACGTCTACAGTTTTGTCTTCGGAAATTATTTTTGAAAGTCCATCCCATAATTCGGCAATAAATTTTATCTCTCTTGGTTTTTGACATCGATCCGATCCAATACACAATAAGGAAGAATTGCAAGTTCGTTCGAAACATTGGCAGATTTCAAATTATTACGGTAAAAATAGGAAGAAGGAAAACGAATTATATCCGGATGAATGCGATATTGCAACCATTAACAATAACACCGGACCATCGACGTTTCAACGTTTCCTGAGTCCAAAAATGTAAAAATCTTGAAGAGGGGGTTATTTTTTTGATC